TCTGGCCGAACACAAGCCGGTCCCGCATTTTAAAATACCTAATTAGAAATCTAGGTTTTTATGTTTAATAATATTTTATATTACATACTTGTTACGCATTAGATAATATTTTAATTTATTATTTCACTATTATAATATTAACAAATATATGTTTTATACTAGCAGCGGCCCACCGGAAAATGCATCCGGTATCCCGGTCGGCCAGTCCGCCACTGTAATCAGATAAATTGCATCGTTATTGTCGCGGAGTTCGACTATTAAATTTATGTGCACCGATAGTCAAAAAGTATGTAATATAAATAATGAGTATATTTCTTAAATTAGTTATTAATTATATAATTTTCACAATTTTTGTTGTACGTTTAATTAGCATATTTTTTTTTTTTTTTAGTCAGTTCTATCTGATACACCCTGTATATTCATAGACAGCTTGACTTAAGAAATCAACATATATAATTATATATTTTATGAATCGTATACTTCATTATTTATATTACATACTTTTTGGATTAAATTATTGACGACAATGTCGACACCGCCTATATTCTGATTAGTGTAATTTCAAAGTATGCTCTATATCCACATTATAATATTACTCAAAACATATTAATTATTATAAATACAAGCAATAATAATATGCAATATTATATGTTACGTAATAATATAATATGGAATATTTTGTGGAATTACTAATGGCAGAAAAACTTTGGTTCAATATTTAACAAATAATTTAAAAACAACTATGTTCTTTTTATGAATATTGAACACGTGTGAATTATAACTCATGGACTTTTACAATGAACAAAAATCGGATTTCTAGTCTTTGAGCATTTTTAAAAATAAGATTGTAATCTGTTGTTGCTAATGATGGTTATGTGCAGGTAATACCTATTTTGTTATACTAACAAAACCAATCGATAATTATTTAATATTTTACTCTTTTAATTACAATAATAATAGACATTTAAGTTTCTTCATAGACTTGCAGTAATGTTAAATAGAATATTATGTACTTTTAAACTTAAGAACACTTAAATGATAACACTTGTTCAGATTTAAGATATTGATTTCATAAAAGTCCTTCGAACACAAATATAATATTATAACATTCGCGAATTTTCGTCAAACTTGAAGGTAATAGAAATTATATTAACAAATCTGTTATATGCGATTTTCAAATATAGATTATTGAACATTTGTTCTCAATAAGATATCAGCCGTTTCTTTTACTTTAGTGAGTTTAGTATGTTTGCGAAGGACAAATCGGACAATATGACAGAAGAAAATATAATTTGACAAATGAATGGGACAAAATTAATAGTGCTAGGCCAAATGACTAATGAACCAAACCAGAATCCACTTGTTATGAATAGTAAACGCATAACCAGAATAATCATTTTTATTTATTTTATTTTTTCGTAAGAACTAGTGAAAACGTCACTTTGAAGCGGAAATAATGACCAAAGGTCGAGGACCAACAATGTTCTACGACAATCGCACATTTTCCCATAACTCTAAAAATATATATAGTTTATTCTCTAATGATAAAATCGTAAAGATTTTTCAGGAAAAACTCCAACAAAAATCATGTCGTACGTCTAAAGTCCACGTAGTTTAATATTTATATGATACGCTTTATCATATTTTAAATTATAAATAAGTAATAATATCAACGTGATATTTTGTGCGATCGACGATCGAGAAGGTCGGTGGCAGATATATATAAATATTGTATAATGTGTTTATGTGAATCAACGATTGCGCACTTTGGGCAAGGTTGAATAATGGTTTTGGCGTAGTCGAGGAATGCGTTATTAGTACATAATATTATACGTAGGTATGTTGCATTAGTGTTCAAATGTTGTTGCTTAAACGCCGAATAGGAAGTACAAAGATCGGTCTAACATATCCGGATTGTCAAGGTGGTCGAACTGAAGTTTCCTTGACTTTTAGTAACGATAATTGTGGTTAATACCGGATGAATAATCACATATATAAATATTATAAACATACATACACTCATACACATAATATATAAAGCAAACGCCCAAAGATATTATTATATGGTTTGCCTAATGATTAGACAAGGTATATTCACGCGTTCATTCGGCTATTACTGCATATAAAAAAAAACAGTAGCAACGATAAAAAGTTTAAATTTGACAGTGTTATATTTACGTATAATAGAAATTATGGAAACGTTATAATTTAAAAGATTCGAACTATATACATAGATAATATAAAATAGATAGGCCATCCTTATATCATAAATATCAATGGAGTGGCGTATTCTTGATATTTAGGAATAACAACCAACGATATCACTTCTACCAGTAGCTACTAATATGGGTAACAATAAATTTAGGCTCATCACTACATAACATCTAGTATCTATACTAATAATTCATATCATCAATTTAATACAATAACAACTAAAACTAACGGTTTTAGAACATATAGTTGAAAGAATAATATTCAGTGATAAATCGTATTTGTATTATAATATCTTATTATAATCAGGGCAGTGACTGCATTTGCATCTTTTTTTTAAATGCTGTAATTCACTGCTTAGTAAGCTTTTAAACGTGTTTTATTACATTTTTAAATTAAATAAGTATTTTTTTTTCATTTTTCATTCGATTTCAGTGGTTTATTTTATTTTCGTATAATTTTCTAGAATGATTTTAATTATATTTAACTCGATGTATCATAACATATAAAATATAAATTATGTTAACATAAGTGTAAATAATTTAATATTTCTCAAGTGTGAGACATTTAAGTCGTTAAGATAAAACAATAAAAGTAGTCCTTCAATAAACAGTTATCGTCAATCAGAAATAAAAAATATTTGTTTACAGATATCCTATCAACTTGTAATCAGTGGATCATTATATTTTGTCACGGCCATTTTATCTGTTTAAAGTTTAAATGCTGAAAATAAATGAATTTTAACCAATGGGAAAAAMCAACGCATCCACAAATTATAGACGAATGAGACATTTTTTGCCCGTGGCTGTTTTTCTACCCTAGTTAAGTTTTATGATTTCGAAAATGAAGTCAATGGAAAAATAAATAAGTGTAATTTTCCAAAAAACGACACATGTATTATACATGTCATATACAATTATACGATAATAATGTTCATCTGATTTAAACTTGAAATTATTATACGGATCATATACAGATTATTCCATTTTTTTGACATTACTATGTAATTAGACATTTTTTGAGAAGTTATCAAGTTCAAGGTTTATGTTTGAAAATAATAATTCTACGTTAAGACGACTGGTTTACGGGTTCGAATATGAGACATAAAATAAAATAAAATATATCTACATTGAAATATTTAATAACGTACTTGCAAAATTAAAACGTTTCACATATCATTATAACATCTTGACCGATTTGACTTTATTACACCACTATGCTTCATTCTGTCGGCAAACATATTGCTTATTTAATGTCTGCTAACTACATTTAGAATACATGAACGACAAAATACCAATTATTGAGTGTATATTTCTATACATTATATACATCATGTAAATTAATTAATAATGTCGTTTTTTTTTTTGCAATATTACGAAATTATTTTTAACCAATTTTCTGAAATACAATATTATAGAGATCAATTTAAAATTAAAAATTATAACTAGGTATGCAAAATCAACATAATTTTATCGGTCGTCGCCGAGTACCTACATAATTAATGCGGTATTTTTTTTTTTAGTAAACGCCTAAGGCAATCTGCAGTAAATGCGACAAGGCTGAATGATCGTGTTTTCATGGTCAAGATCCGTGAATTGCAACTGATGTGTAAACACTATATATTATACACTTAACTATGTATATACATAGTTTCTATAACGTATTTGGTCTAGTCATGAGTGACTGTTATTATATTATAAAACATATATATTATACACTCGATCGAATATGTAAACCAAAACGATTACCTACCGAAGTTCGTGCACCCCGAAATCTGATATAGATAATTGGATTCTTGTACAGTTGTACCTATACGCCTATGCGCGGAGTATCGTTATTCTGATTTATATACGAGTAATAAGAGGGTACTTGTTTCAATTTGCTCGCGTTTAAGTTATACATACACTTGGCGTTATTTTTTTAACATTACAGCATGAATCACATACATCTATTTATCTATATAGTCGTCATTAACGGCCACATTATCGGCGCTGACCTTTTATATTACCACCAGGATGTCGGTATATCCCTAACCCGCGGCGACGCAAGCTCATTTTGATTTTCGATTCCTTTTTTAATATTATCGTTTAGGATATCATTACATAATTATTACGGGGGATAGAATAACTAGAATAAACGATGAACAATAACTAATAATTAGAAGCTTGTATAATATTAATGCATTTATGTATACTAAATTAATTAATCAAAACATTGTCAAAAATGAAAACTTACACAATATGACGTTTCCGACGAACAGACTCAAGGTGACAGTTGTGAAGGTGGTGAACCTCTGAAAAAAAAAATTCATTACCATCTACTTGGTAGGCGTGTAAGAGTAGGTATTTATTTGACAAGGTTTAAACTTTCATTCCGGAAGAAATAAGACGTGACTGTAGGAGCATATTACATTGCATTACATACATGCAGYCAAACAAAGTGTTACAATATTTGCGGTGTTCTCCCAAAAATAAAATATGGTTTCTTATTCGTCTTTTGTAAATTATTATTCAATCGTTGTTTAAAAAATTGAAATAGTTATTAATATGAATAATTGAATAATATATATATATCAAAAAGAGAATTTATTAAAGTTAACGAAATTTGTTAAGTTTTCATAAAGACAATAATATTATGTCTTTTTTCAAGTTTTGAACAATAAATTAAATAAAATTGAAAGTTAAACTACAATATTTAGTCGAGTATAATAATGTGAGACTTTCTAATAAAACTTAAAAATGATGATGATGAAACTAACTATTAATGTTTTATAACGTTTAATGATAAAAGTGTAAAAACGTAATACAAAAATGAATTCAGATTTACTTACTTCTTTACGAACTCCCGGGAAAATGATAAGAAATGCTGTGAAAATCGTACCGAAAACCAGACAGGTCGTAATCATTTGTACATCACCTGTGACCGGTGTACGGTTGCTATAACCATAGAACATAGGTCCTCCATCACTCCTGAGCCAYTTCATTCTGTAAAACAAAAAATATATACAATTTAAAATCAGAATTTACGTATGTTTATAATCATAATTTAACTCTTGTTAATTTGAGTACCTATCTCATTTAAAACTTATCAGAAATTCTCTGGTCACAAATTAATMACACAGATAACAACACACTGGCATTACTAACATGCATTATCTATATAGATTATTGAGTAAAAATTCATTGAACAAGGAAGTTCATCCTGTTTTATGTATGCCAGCGCATAACATTCTCAACTAACTACGATAATATTTTAAAAATATACTCATTTACAATTATGTAACTGTTAAAAAAAAAAATGTGCAAAATGTTCTGATCAGTAGGTATATGTATTACCAGTTACCACATAATATGTTCATTCTATTTAAATTTTAAGTACCTAAATCTTAATATGTGTTAAAACTTAAAAGGAAATAATATTATATATTAAATTAATATATTATACTATACGCGTATGGCATAGTATTAATAGTATTGACTGCTACTATAAATTAAATTACAAAATCGTTACAGAAAATACAAATTAATGATTTATAGAACCTACACCTAACCATGATTTTTTCTGATTTCCATAAACGTAAAATGTTTAGAATAAATTTTTTAACTCTGAGTTTTTTGATTAATTATCAAATTAAATAAGACTCCCTCTTTTTTGATATTTAGTTTTAAAATTTGTGTTTGAAATTTAAAACACTCATAACTGGTCCGGATAATATTATTACATTTAAATTGTATAAACAGGAAAATTCACTCTTCTGTTGAAAATATCAAAAATAAATAGGTTGTTCTGACATCCGACAGTAATATTTGATTTGTTATGCATAAAAAAAAATGTATAAAAACGCACATGCAGGAACGTTGTCGTCGTTAAAGGTTTTACTTTAAATACACTATGACGTATACATATAATGACGACAGTTATGTTATATTATTATAAATTCATAGATCCGTGAAAAATGTAAATATATATAAAAAAACACGCAACAATAATTCTTTTGTCGTCATTGAAATCGTGGTTTCTATTAAATAAACAAGATTTAGCTAGTCATAATGTAGATGGTAAAATTTACATCTCGTCGATATCTCAATAATCAATGTCGATTATTTTCAACCACAGCGACATTGTACTGCGTATAGTTGTGTTTTGTGTTTCAGATAAGTAGGCATTATGGTCACGGCCAAAATTAACGTAGCGCAAAAACGTTCATCGGGGAATTCGGTAAAATGCAGCTGGAAATTCAACATCATAGTTATGGCATATTAATTTTGACCAGCAGATCCGCATAAACTAGTCCTGGGTGTGACCAAGGTCGGGATAAAGTGGCTTTTGTGCTCGGGCTGGCTGCTACCGTGTCAAAGTTGATCTTTGCCTGCACAACTTTTTTTGCTCCAGTTCTTTTGTCCGCGACAATGCGGCGACAAATCGTTTGCATATTACTATTGATATTTATTAATATTTATTACCTATATTATTGTTACTGCATTTTTTTTTCAACAGGAAATATTCTAAGACTATGAAGTTATAGAAGGCTAACTCTATTTGTTTACACCACATGCAACCGTCTGCATTATGTACACATTACGTACAAAAAGTGAATATAATAAAATATATATGTATGGTCTAACTGTTTAAGTAACTCTTGAACGTTAGGAAAACAAAAA